GTGAGGCGGCTGGGGCTGGAGGGCGGGTGGGTGAGGGGATCTGAGGAAGAAACACCGTCCTCTGGCCGGGAGCGGTAGGATGGAGCCTGGGTTACGCCAACAAGTGAAATTCTCCATTTAGCGTGGGCGTTTTCGAGGAGGGGAAGGGTGCTGCCAGGCCGTGCTGAACACGAGGAGTCCCGCCAAGGGTTGTGCGCCTGTGACTGAGCTTCGCTTCGGCGAGGCCTGCGTGGTTTGTGCTGGTGCTGTTTGCCCACGTCTTGGTAGCAGGCGGCGTGGAAGGAGCGTGGCGGCGGGGAGCGGTCGTCCTCACCTCGCGTTGTTGGCGGCATCTCGCTCCGGAGAGCGTCTAGTGCCGCCCGTCTGGAAGCGGAAGGTAAAAAGTTTAAGCTGAGACTGACCAAACCAGCATTATCATCCCCTGCAAAGTCTTATTTGTTTAGTGTTGTTATCCACCGGGGTAGCAAAAACTAGAGATCCGTGCTTTACAACCTAATAAAAGCATGGCTTTTGTTTCAGGAGATACGGGATAATTATTAAAGATGAAAAAAGTAGGGAATAATTTTTTAAGAACCTCTTTAGAGAGAGGGGAGAGAGGAGGAACTCTATACCCCAGAAAATGATAGTTATTCCAAACATAGGGGACGGCAGGAGGAACTGAAAGGAACGGAGATGGGGGGGTCTGTCTGCAGGTGAGACTGCCATTACGCAGGATTTCAGAAGAAAGAATTAATTAACACTAGTTCTAACTGGAGGTGGAAAGGAAGGGCAGATGTGAGTGTTCTATGGAAGGGAAAGGCCAGGCCTCTGACGCTTGGTTTTGGAAGCCATACAGGACTCTGGTCTTATTAGGCCCAAGTGTGGGAAGCGTGAGAGTTCACTTAGGGTAAAATGATCTACGGAGTCAGCCTCAGTATCTTTTATTCAGATAAATTGTGCCTATCCTGTGGCTTAGGCACAGGTGTAGCACTGAAAGCGTGCAAATATCCGTGTTCACATTGCTACCTATAGATGGTCATCTACTGCTGTCGTAGATTTATGTTGTTAAAATATTTTCCTTTTTTCCCTTGGTGGTGTTGTTGGGTCATACCTTTCTGTGAATGGTAAATAAATACAGATTTAGTCTGAGCAAAATAACCTGAACATGCCTTACATGGTTGCTTGTCTGCTGATAAAACAGCAGTTCAGTACTGCTGTTATGTGGGATTTTTCTGTGGGGTTTTTTTTTGGCAGTGGCGAGGGTGTTAAACTCACGGATATCGGATGGGGGAAAGTCTTTGGCAGTTGCACCCAGGCTTGTCCACTCTTTGATAATGTGTCTTGCTGACTGGAGGGTATGGTGCTCCTACGGCTGCTGATTTGGCAGAACTACAGCCTTTGGATCTACTGCTGTCTCTCACTGTCAAGGCTGGAGTAGTTTCTTCTTCATTTTTTTTTTTCTAACTCTGATGAATATATTTTTAATCCTCTGGGTAAAATTTTACATGTTCTGTAGTTAGTGTTTTTTTGCATAGGGCCACATCATTATTTTCTTGATTTCCGAGTTTGATGCATGTGGCCTTTAATTTGACAAATCTAGCAATGTTTCTTGTTGTTACTGGATCCTTAGTATGGTCAAGCAAGCTTAGTGGGAGATCAGCACTCCTGCCTCTAGGGAGGGGTAGCTGATGGATAGTGTGCTTACGCTTGGGAAGGGAGAGGTGGGATTTCAAGCCCCTTTTTGAATACTGGGGAGGCTGAAGTTCAGATTCAGATCTGGGATATTTGGTCGTTAATGCCAGAAGTTTGCATTCCTAGGTTGATGGTACACATTTGATTTTTCCATTATGTGCTGGCTCATGGAATTCCCGTGGAATTAGTTAGAACACACGATACAGAATTTGCGATGGGCTCTGTGCTTTTGTAATGGCTGCAGGAGAACAGACAGTGCCTGGTCCAGCAAAAAACCTGCCAGTATGTTGTTAACTTTTAAATAATTTTTGAATAAGTTTAAACCAACAGAGAAACCTATACCAGATCTGCATTTTGCATAATTCGGCTGCGATGTTCTTAATCGAGAAAATAAGTGGCATTAACTTCAGTGGGACATTTACTCACTTTTTAAAACTGTGTGCTTGTTAACAATATTTTTTTCTACCAGTGAGTTATTAATCTGGGAATTTTTATAGGTTTCTTTGAAGAGTTTTTTTTTGTTCAGTGGCAGATACCAGTTTGTGAGCAACTTAACATACATGGTTGGCATGAGTTTTCTTACTACCACTAGAATCTTTTCTACAGGTCTCTTGTAGGTTCTTTTGTCACTTACAGGTAAAACATGCTACGTGTTTGCATAGCACGTTGCTTGGAGCTGATTAAGACGATGCTTAAGTATTTACGTGTATGTATAGTACAGTGTTGATCTGGTATTTTGATTTTTCTTAAGTGGTTTGAAATCTGCTACCCTAGTTTTTGCTGCTGTTTTTACGCCTTTTGTCAGATGCCTTTTCAACTTTTAGCTCAGAAATGGGAGAAATTGCTTCTGGGCAATTCTTTTTTTCCAGTACTGAAAACCCCTCCTGCTTGCAGCATGCTGCCAGATGCAAGATTGTAACAGAATGCTTCGGGGTGGGGGGAAAACCGGGACTGTTAGTAGTGCCGTTAAATGCCTAAGGAACGAAATCATGGACTGTAGTGTAGCAATGTTTGTGGTGGTTTTTTCAGGTACCTTTTGGCTTGTTACAGGGACCAGCTATGGAGAAGTGGAGCTTGATGACAATTACTGTTTTACTAGCGCTTACCGTACGCTGGACTGTATCGCTTGGTTCTTATTCAGGTAATGTGTGTTCGCGGTCTGTAAAACAACCACACGAAGGTGAATTATGCAGCTTGTGATAAATTAAAATAAACTTGCATGTAAAATCATAAATAGGAAGCCACGTGCTGTTTCGAGTATTGTCATAGTTTAGTGCCTCTCTATTTCCCTAAGGTTCATACAATACCTTGTTCTTATTTTTCTGATGTGTGCAATGATTAACATCGCTGCCCCTTGGAACAAAATGCTGGAAAAAACCACTACTCGTTTTTTTGGGAGGGCGGGTGGGGGAGCAGTGTGTGTCGGTCAGTAATGTCTTAGGAGGAGCCAAAGTACAGCTGGCTGTTCACCCTTGTGCCTTTCAGTAGCTGTGGAATATTATTGCGGTCCGATTGTACGTATATTTAATCTTGTCCATTAAGTTCTGTAACATACAGCCTTAATTTATAGTTAGATAAAACTGTGCTGGTGATAATGCAGACGGTGTAAAGGTGACATGCAGTGAGCGATTACGCTCTGCCTTGTAGCTGTACTTCCTTAAGATTGTTTACAGCATGAACTAGAGCTGTATTCTTTTAACAGATGAGTTTTTCTCCTCCCCATGTAATAATGCTTGAAAACAACTAGCAAGTTTTTTTCCAAACCTCCCGATGCCATTCCTACGCTTAGCATAAGCTTGCAAAAGCTAGCTCTGCAATTTTTTTTTTTTTTTTTTAAATGAACTGTTATATTTTCAGTCCCTGTCAGCTAAAAGGATCCCCAGCTCAGTCAAATTCAGCTCTGGTTTTCTGTTAAGGCGATTGGGAGCCTGCTTCCCTAAGTAGTTGGAGCTGTTCAGTAGCGTTCTAGTGATTTTTAAACTGGTAACTCCTGGGCTTCATTTACTTGAAGGAATTTGCTTCAAGACAAGTTGCATGCATACCTTCTTGTGCAGTTGTTGTATGTTTAGCTTGCTTTCTGAAAATGCCATTATGAGAGATCTGTTCTGTAGGTAACTGGGCTGTCTTGTACCCATCTGTAGGCAGAAAAACAACCAGCCTGTCTTTTGCCACACAATACTAAATTTCTGTTGCACTGCAAGTATTTACAATTATATTGCTAACTAGATTTTTTTAAGTTGATTTAAGACCAATCAAGATTCTGCAAGAGAGTATTAAAATAATGCATGAACTAAAATAACAATTTTTTAATCTTGTTTCCGACATAATGATTGTGTGACTTCTTTTGGAATAGGAAAAGCTGAGTCTGATCCAGTCCAGCAAATTATTAAAGCATGTGCTTGACTTTGTCTTTTTTTCAGCCAGCCAATGCTCAAACCTGAATGTTAGAGAGAGCTGTCAAATGCATAACTACGCTGGAATTTTTTTTTTCTCTTGGACTACCTTTAGATGTAATAAACCTTTAATGACAGGAGCAAGAAAAAAAATTGGGCAGGGTAGTGCTTAAACTTTGACTTGCTCGCTATAAGCTTGTATAACAAAATATTCTGACTGGTACGTGTCTCTGTTGCGAAGCTCCAGCTTTGTTTTGAATTGATTGGAAAGATCAAGGAGCAATTTTTTAGCAGGCTTGTGTCAGATAATGCACTAAAGTTGAGCGAACAATTAGAAGTAGTCGTCGTTCTCTGAAGCAGGCTCGGGTAGAAATGCTGGTTCGGTATATTCTGAAACGACGTGTGGCGTGGGTGGCCAGACGTAAGGGGGTTAATTCTGCTCTCATTTACTGTATGGTCTTGGATTGCTGTATTTGATTTCCATTCTGTTGTTGCTTGCCATCTAGCGTGCTTTTGGATCTGCCTCTCTTTTTGGGTCGTGGTGGTGAGAAAGCAGATAACTAACACCTAGTTTTTAAAGGTTACTGTTTACAATGACCTGAGATTAGTTGGTTTTGGAGGATTATTGAGGAAAAATTTGGCTTCGTAGATTAATGCATAATTTTTTAATGCATTGCCAAAATGCTGCTAAATGAGTAGACACTAAATACTCATGTTGAAAGGCAGCTTCAGACCCTTAAAAATGTCTGTTACCAGGGAACAATAAAACTGAATAAGACCACTCTAAATTTAAAGTATTTGTGATAATTTTAAAATAAAATACTCCATTTTTATTAATTGTGAATTCTTTTTGGCTGTGTAGTTGATGCTTGCTGTAGACGGAAGCTAAATATGCGTTCTCAAAGTAACCGATGTGTGATCAGTCTCTGTATTTGGCTTTTGGCAATCAAGGCTTTGGATTAAGATCCGTTTTGATCATTCTGAAGCCCATTAATTTCTTTTCCTTTTTTTTGACATGGGGAGAAGCTGAAATAAAATGTGTGTGTTTATAGATGTGTGTTGATACACAAACACACAGAGATATACACACACTTTAAAATCTGGATAACACCTATTTTTGTATTTCTGTAATCCTATGACAGGTTCTTTGTTCCACTAGATTTATAGCTACAGAATGGGCACTGATAAAACTCTTATTCTCCAGTGACCTCACTTATTTAGGAAACTTTCAGTTGAGTGTGGCACGTAGTCGAGATAATCTACTCTCTCTACTACGCAGGAATAAATTAGCAGAGATAATCTGTTCTCTCCCCTACCCAGGAATAAATAGTACGTATCTGAGCTTGTGTGACTCCCACCAACATAGATCACATGAAAAAAATATAGATGGCTTTCCTATATTTTAAAGAAACTCTTAAATCTCTGTCTGGCTAGTGTCAATATTTTACTGGGAGTACTATCAGTCCAGTTTCTGTTCTCAGTAAGCACAGGTTAATAGAAGTAAATAAACTCTTTGATAAAGATGGCTTAATACTGCTGTTATCGGAGTTAGGCTTACGCTGAGGGAATTGTTTATGTGTGGACATCTGAAGTATTTGCACTGATAAAGGTGGTTTTTTTTTCCTTGGAAAAAAAAAAATCAAATCTTAGTTTCCGGAGAGACTTATGTATGCGTGCGTGAAAAGTGTCCTTTAACATAATTCACTTTGCAGAACTGCTACGTAGCAATCACTCAGTTGAAAAATGAGCGAGAGAGAATTCCTGTAAACCAAAATGGCGCAGTTATTATTTAGAAGGCTTCAGAGATTATAAGTAAAAATTCTGCTG